GTTTCGCATGTATAATTTGCACTACAATTTCCTGCTATGGTTTTTTTTAGTAAAAGGTATATGCAGTATACAAGAAAATATATTAGAAAAATCAGAGTAGAATGCATCCAGAAAACAGAGAAATAATTAACTTCAAAATAAATAAATAATCTAATCAAAATATTTCCTTAAAAATGAAGGAATGATCAAGAAAGTCAGAGGTATCAATTTTATTATAAAATATTATTTAAGACAGGGCTGTCCAACCAATGGCCTGTGAGCTACATGCAACCTCCAAGGCTAGGGCCAGAAATTACACATAAAGTGGTATAACGGATTGAAAACCAGTTCAACTCTGCAATGCAACAGAAGTTCAGTGCACATAAACCACTTTCAAAATAGCCAAAACTGGTTTAAGATAAACCTAGATAGATGTAGTATTACACTTAACTAATTTAAGTTAAATCAGTTTACTGAACTTCTGTCCCAGATCCCCTTCAGATTCAAGTTAACTGACAGTTCCCCAGCATCCCAGGATGCTTTGCACCTCGCCCATAACACCACCTCTCCCTTGCAGGGTGGGTGGGCTAGCCATGGCACAAGCTGTCTGCTCCAGCCAAGCAGGGAGGTGTGCTCTAGCACCCCCCAGCTTCTGGCTAGCTTGGGCCACTGCAGTCATGTGGCTGCATTTCCAAAATCAAAAGTAAATGTCTGTTTACTTGCTTATCAGCAGCTTAAATTAACTTGCGAAGATTGAATAGATTAAGCCTTGGGCTTTTTGACTGTCTGTACGTATCTGAAGGTGTTAAACTACAGCTCCCAGACTGGGCATCACTCCCCTTATCACTCTTCTGTTGCTAGAGTTTTCAGGCTCCCCCTCCTTCCTCCAGCTTCTGCTGTCTCCTCCTGTCCCTGGAGATATAATGGAACCACCCAAAGGGCTGAGGGAGCCTGTGGCCAAGGAGCTCAGGAGGACCTGTGGTGGCGTGGCAGGGCAGGGCAGTGCAGGGGAGAGGAGGGGAGGGAAATGTGTCATGTGACAGGGAGACCCATGTGACAGCAGGGAGCTCAGAAGGCATGCGACTCCACATGGTATGTGGCAGAAGGGACTACAGCCCCTGGCCACTCAGAAATTGGAAAGTCCTGGTTTAAGATGATAAAATTATGTCAGATTCAGATTAACAGAATAATGATATTTAAAAAGGGTTAACAGGCTGACCATGAAATTCAAGACCTGCCAGCCTGACATGGATCCCAGGCAAAACAACTGATGTAGGACTTGATTAATCAAGAATGAAAAGTAGGGTAATATAATTAATGACAAATCAACAAGGTTTTGTCAAACGAATTTGATATCTTTTTGTTTGATCAAGTTACATGTCAAAGCAATACACTTAAAATTTATGAAAGACATTTAATTTAGAACTGCAAAACATTTTGATTGAGAAGTTGAATAATGCAAAAAAAAAATCAACATGGCGTACACTGAACAGACTGAAAACTGGCTGTAACAAAAGGACTCAAAATATAATTGTACATGGAGGGCCACCATCAAGTTTTCTAATGGGGTTCCATAAAAACCTGTTCTTTATCCCATGTTACTTAAAACTGCTTTCAATTACTTGAAAGACAACATAGAAACATAAGGTTGCAAGGGACAGACGTGATGGGTCAATCCCCCTACAGGAATATAGGAATGCTATTCCTTAAATGTCCCTATCAAAAGCTTATGTAGTACACTGGTAGCTGTATACTACCAAGTCTGTTTCACATACCTCACTGACCAAGGACAACGAAAAGCTGTTACATTTTAATAACTCCCATTCAAGTGGCCGGATAGCAAAACAATGAGGATGCAATGGAGAGGAAACAAAAGGACATGCTTTCATAAACACAGGGCCTCCCCTCACTACCTCCTCTTAACTGTAGGAACAACAGAGAAAGACAGAAACTAGGTGGGGGAAAGAAGTCATGTGCAACAAGGGTGTGATCCTGAACTCCTTAAAGGACTGTAAACAATGCCTAAAGAAGGTTCAAGAGTAGTAAAGAGACTGAGACAGGGAAATGTGTGCAGACACTTACCAAATTTTACATTACTTACCATAACTAAAGTAAAGGTTTCCGGCAACACAGAAGGGCTAAATTAGATGACCTAGGACAATGGGGGGGAGGGGAGGGTCAACTTTTTTTGGTTAGCCCCATAACCCTCACAAGTGTTACTCTGATTCCTTTAACCTGCCTGATCTATTTATCTCCTTTCTGCTCACTTCCATATCCTCTGCTGTGTTCTCTACTCCTTCCCCAGTTTCCCACAAGCCACACACAAAGACTGCCTTTGCCACTTGTGGCATACATCCCACAGGTTGGCCACCCTGACTTACGATATCAACTTCTACTTCTGGTAGTCTTAAGTGATGTTGTAGAAATGATGGTCCAGGAAATATGCAACACGCAAGGATTTTCATGGGTGATATCTCTTATTGGACCAGCTGCATGGTGGGGATAGACTTAAGACCTGAAGAAGAATGAATTGCCCTCAAAAGCTTGTCTACGTCTATACCCACCATGCAACTGGTCCAATTAAAGATACTGCCCATAAAACTCCTTCCCTCTCACAACCTCTTGCATTTATTAAGGGCACTTATTTTTTAAACAAAGTCTGAGTATTTATCTACTTCAGTTATCACATTCCTTGTAGAGGTAAACTATAAACTCAGATTTAGTGTAAATGTTAAGATTGTGAATCCAAAAAAGCTGACAAAGCCGGTAGGGAAATACATAGTGCCCGAGCGAGGGACTAACAATAGAAGGATGGGGGTGAGGAAGGGAACACAACTAGGTTACAGGAGATACAGTGTTAGCCAATTAAGTTATTACATGGGTTGTTGGCCATGACTCACAAGTATGCTAGCAAACATCCTCACATGGACGCAATTATGTTATGTTGGGTTAGTCTCTGTTGTCCAGGAAGGTGGCGGAGCACTACTGGTAAGAAACTCCTTCTGTCGACATATACATCTACTGTAAGGAGGCTTTCCCAGCTTGTCTGTACTGTAAACAAGACCTCAGACTATCTGTAAGATTGGAACTCTGGGAAAAGCTTATGCTTATGCTGTTGGATATTCCAAAGGATCAGCACAGGCCCCAACAGTTATAGCAGGCTTGGTTGCAAGATCCCATTTCAATAAATGGATAAACAAGAGACTCTAACCAGAAAATGTGCCAGGTAGAGAAAACCAATTCTGCAATCTACGACCTTATGAACATAGGTTCCAAACACAGCAATCTGATGAGTGTCCAGCTGGGGAAAATTTCCCATGGCTGTGACAGGCAGTTCTGCTAGTCTATAGTATGCTTTTCTGGCACACACATCAAGTAAGAAATCAAATTTTATCAGTGTTCTGACACAGGCAGGCTGGCAAATATTTTCATGTGTAAACATAGCCTTATAGAGGGCCATCCTGGATCACTCTGCAAACTGGACAGAAGGAAATGATATGCATTTCAGTACAAACAAATATGTAAACGCAGAGAATGAAGACCATGCATACAAAATGAGGAGCTATCCTAGGAAGTGGTGTCAAAAAGATTTGACGACCAGTGTGAACATAAGCACTCAGCATAATACTGTGGTGAAAATAGGATGAATAAATAGAGCAATAATGACTAGAAGTAGAGAGGAGTTACTGCATCAATGCTTTGTACTGATGTAATTGCTACAGAAATACTGTATCTAGTCCTGGTGTCCATAATTCAAGCATACTGCAAAATTGAGGCAGGTCCAAAGAAGAGGTACATGAATGCTTAAACACTGCAGGACATGCTCTAGGGTGAAAAGCTTAAAGGAGATGATCTATTTAGTTTGTACAAGAGAAAGTTAAGGAGTGATTTGATGAATCTATAAATACCTATATGAGTAATAGCAGTTTGGTAAGAGTACTCTTCACTCTAGCACACAAAGGTAGCACGAGGTTCAATTTTGGAACCTGATACTATTTATTTATTTATATTACATTTATATTCCACCCAATTCAAAAGGCTCAGAAAGGCTAGACAGGGTCATATGAACACTGTGAGTGATTAAAACCATCAGAACAAGTTACCGTATCTACAATCTGTTTTGAGAGCATTGCTGATACCAGTAGTTAAATGCTGTATTACAGTTATGGTTGGATGAAGTAAGGACTCTGAGCATCTGCTCTATTTATGGTCTAGATGTTGCTGCTAAGCATTTCCCCAAAGAGATGAAGTTACAAAATATTCCAAGTTACTGATAAAAGGAACCTGCTCGTTATTCTATAGATAACCAATGGAGGGATAGGGGAATTCAGTCTTTCATAAATACAAGCTACATACAACAGTTATGT